TTGTAAAATGAACTATATTTTAATGTGAAACGTAGTATTAATCTAAAAATTGTAGGAATTTTCAAAGGTTTAAAAATTTGAACAAATTATTCCTTTATTAAGGCTTTTAAAAATTTTGAGTATAAATTTATAAAAAAATAGTCTCTATTCAAATATAACGCAAAGTAAATAAGAAACGTTTAGTTTTTCATGAAACAATAAAATATCACATGTATTTTTATATTTACATAACCATATTTACCACGATGTTCGAGCGAAACAATTGCGAGGGATGTATGACCATTCTTAAAGATATTCGACAAATCTGTGAAATTTCTAGTGGATACAGCCTGTTTGAATGTCTGCACAAAGATCTGGTATGAATCCATTGAATCGTAATCTCTTCTTCTTTTTATATTCGATTCGATTAGATTTAGATTCGATTCGATTAGATTTAGATTCGATTTTTTAGATTCATCCTGGCACTAAACTTACAGGCCTTATCTCGTTTGAAATATGAGTTACCTGATAATTATTACGATTGTTATTATCATCAGAATGATTCATGCTAGAAATATCGCCGACTTGACAGAATAGACTAGAGACCTCTTTCGGAGAATTATTAGAAGGTTTTTGATCATAGTTCTTGTTTGTTCTATATATCGATAACAACATTTAAATCTCACGCATACAATTCATATATGTATAAAGACGTATATCACCGACGATGAGATCCTATTAAAGATCGTCAACCCTGGGCAAATTTTCGGTGATATAAAAAGGGCCCCAAAGGGTCCGGAGATAATTGAAGAACGCTGACATTACCGATAATTGATATAAATTTGCTATTATTAACATAAATATTTGGCTCATACATTATTAAATTTATGATTTTTTATTATATAAATGTTTCATAAATAAATATTCATACTTCTAAAGCTATAATATCCTATATATTGCAGAAAAATTACATTTTTTTTCTTTGCAGTTATCATCTTTTTTAATGATTAAATTTTGACCATAACACCGAAATCACAATTTTTAAGAAAAATCGAATATTATTGTGTTCTAAATGCATAAATACATCTACTAAACTAATAAATCATAAAATTAGTACAATGTTATCAGTTTTTAACTTAATCACTTCAATATTCACAAGGACGCGAACTCCCGAAAGGATGTCGGTCTTTAATAGTATCTCGGTGCATATATTCATCAGGGTGAGCGTTTATAATATATAATAATCTATATCAGTATATATAAAGTATATAAACTATATTTTATCAGTCATCTATGGATTATCAAAGCCCATATATGATATGCGGGTATATGTATATAACACATTACTACTACATGTCACAATTAAAAGTACACGTGTGTTTATATACGTATATGTATATATGTATACATATTGTGTACACCACACACACACACACACACACACACACACACACACAC